GTGATTGGTTGGGAGGAAGCAGTGACTAGCATAAACCTACATGCTAGGCTACAATGAGAAGGAAGGAAAACTGCGTTTCTTTTTTATCAAACTTTTATCGACCCTCTTTTTTTCTATTGCGCCACACGTCTATCGATCGATATATATCGTTATTGAATTATCGCCCAGCCCTATTTCAAACCTCAAACTGTTCTGACAAAACAGAGTATGCTTTGTTTTACATTCAAATTTGGCTTTTACACTCATTTTGGAAATAGTATTTAGTATTTTTACAAGGTAAATCTGCACTAAAGTGCACTAAGGATGCTAACCTTTGTTAGCATCCCTAGTTAATTGTTAAAGTAGAAAAAATGTGGCAGAATATGAAATAAACTTTTCCCCTCTCCCTAAACATGTAAGGACAGCATTTTAATTTGGCAACATTCAATGCTTTCAGATGTTCAGTTTTTTTCCTTAAAATCCAGCACTATTTTTCCCTTTTTCAGACTGCAGCAGGGAAGCAAAGGGCTGTCATGAGTGTGTGTGAAAATGGAATGAAACAAGTTGGGGGAAAGGTGAGATGTCAGCAAGAGAAAATAAAACCCTACTATGCAATTTTTCCCTCACTCAGTGATGTACAATATGAGTGTACTATGAGCGTGCTGTTTTTATTTCTCTTGTGCTCTGCCTTAAATGCAGCTAAAAAGGCCACTAAGCAGTTCCAAAAAGGCGACAAGGCTAAAAAGTTAAGATGGACAGAGGACTTCAATGTTTCATTAAGTCGTCTCAGTTCATATATATCATTCTACCAATGAAATATTCAAAATGTTCTTGTTTATTTAAATATTCAGTACTCTGGCTCTGTTCATCTTCCAAGAAACTCTGAGACATTTTGTCCAGCTTTAAATTAAAGAATCTCTACCAGACTTGATAAGAGAAGAGTTCAAAATCCCATGAAGGATGAACAAACAGGCTACGACTGGAAAACACTGAGGCTAAAAGGAAAAACTCAGTGGAATGATCAGTGTAGAGCAGTAGCTAATGAGAGTAATGCCTCTGAACTTTGAGGCTAGTCTAAATTAATGAAGTCAATGAATATATTCAATTTGTGGTAATCTTCCATTTCCACACATTAGTTTCTCTTCGTTTTTGTTTCTATGGTTTTAGATAAAAAAAAAAAAATTCAGTTTATGAAATGCAAAACCTTATCTCCAGTACCTAAAATTTTGCATGCCTGACCATTGTGTTAAAACTACAAAGAATTTACTGTGGGGCTTTTACAAATGCTCTTTGACCAGACTTTAAAGGGCAGAGTGTACATGACCAGCAGGGTCTCCTGTAGGATGTCTGTTTTAATGAGAGCAGGCCGATCGGAGCCAAATGCACTCTGATGTGTGATGTCACCAGTAATATCCTGGCAGGCCATAACCGCTGGCTGCCTGAATGGCTTTTACCACCATGTTGTTAACACAGATCAGTGTACCTGCCTCTCTTCAAACACGATAAGCTACAGCATACAGCTTCAGCTCTCTCCCTAAACTGCCTATTGATGCCCAGAGAAATTGCTGCACTCACGTAGTGCTAAACTCTAGGCTAGGCTTATTTAAACTGTGATTCTATTTTAACATTTTCCCCAGAGAAACTCCTTCTTTCCAATATTTTATTTTCATAAGATTTTACTCTTCCAAACTCAGCGCCAGATTTTAATTATTCACTTATGATCTTGTAGGTACCAAAAACAAAACAAAAAGTCAATGTTTCTACCTCAGTTATATTATATCATCTTCTACTGTCATGGTCCTGACAATTTAATGCTTTACAGATCTGATGTTGGTTTTTTACCCGTTGTTGTCAGAAAATTTTTATCTTTCTTCTATTACATATTAATTTATCTTATTTACTCACTATAAAAGTTTCCACTCTGTCTGTTTCTCTTTCAAGGCCACACCATTCCCTGCAGGATGGTGTTTGTAGACCAGACATTGTTTCTTCCCATAACAAACTAGATTCTTTCTCAAGGTTTATTCATAACATGTTACTGTTAACCAAAGTGTGTGTAATTTGTTATGACTCTGACTGCTTTTCATTTGTTGTAAGTAGGGGGGGACGAACGCTGCCCAGATCAGAAGAGAGTAGAACGCTGTGCCATTGGGTCTGTATGATGAACTGTTCTCTCTTTGCAAAGACATGAATAAATGTGCCGACTGAGTGAAATCCATCGATCTCCGTTTATTTAACTAGGATGAATCGTTGAATACTTTTTTCCCACGACACCGTGTTATATTTAAGTGAAAGGTTATGACAAAAGATCCACAGAAAAAAAAACAATCAAACCCCCAACCTTAAGTGAGAAACATATGCTCTAGGAACCTTAAGCTTTTTTTGTTAGCAGTCCAGTTTCTTAAAATTTATATAGTTTTATTTCAAAGATCCACCTTAATGCAGACTGTAAATAGTCTGTATAGTAGAAGTTTAAAACCTTGCAGTTTGTAGACAACAAATAAGATACATCATTTAACTGTTAATAACGAACATTCAAGTCCCGTTAAGAACTAAAGAAAGAGTTGCCATTTTAATTAAGTTAAGTTTAAGAACAAACTTATTGAAAATTACATTAGTGTTTTTATAAATATGCCATAATTGGTCTTAACATATAAAAATAGCACATATTTTGATTGCATATTTAGAATCAAGTCTTCAAAATGCTCATATAAATAATAGACATAATTTAAAATTCCTGAAATATTATACATAGTATTTACATAAAGTGCAGATCTGACATTCAATAAGATGGTCTGTTTGTTTATGTGATTACCAGCAATTTAATGTCTGTCTACAGAAGGAGAATTGAATTGCCAACTTTAGAAAATAAGCTGTTCCTAAGTTCTTTTTAGTTTTTAATGTCATGTCCCCGTAATTTTTTTCTCAGATAGAAGAACAAACAATGCTTGTTCATGCGACAGGGTTCTTAAACCTTTTCTGGCCCCGCCCTTTTCTGGACTTGTGCAGCATAAACCAAGTCCAGATCAGGTAGATAGCATTCCACAATCTTCTGGTCTCTTTTCAACACCCATGCTAAATCATTCCCCCATTGTGCTGTGCAGCCCTGATACCATGCAGCCATATTGCCCCATCTATAAGACAGGACACTTTCAAATTTGGTATAGTGGTGAGATGAGGAAAGGGAAACTTTCCTCACCACCTGGGGCCTGTTAGTGAGAAAGTCACAGCTCTAGAAGCAAAAGGGTGCAGATAAGCCCGGGTTGTTGAGCTTCAGGGCTAGAATGCCTGGAAAAATGGTGTTAAAGGCTGAGGATAAGTCCTCTGCAGATGAGTCAGAACTATTTGAGGTACTAGAGGGACAGCATACTCTGTGGGGTGAGTCTTCCTGTAAACAAACTGTGAAC